CGGGACGCTCAGATCTTAGCTAGACGCGGAGACCGGACCGAGGAAGCTCGATGTACGTAGTCCCTATATATATATAACCATACGTACCCCCATTGGATCAATTGCAAGCGCACCGGTAGTCACCATCAGGGCTTAGTCACCTCATCACAACAGCACGTACGTACAGTACGTAGGTAGCCAGCTAGCTAGCAAGGCGGCGGCGGCGACATGGCCGACGAGGAGGCGTGCATGTTCGCGCTGCAGCTGGCAAACTCGGCGGTCCTGCCTATGGCGCTCAGGACTGCCATCGAGCTGGGCCTTCTCGAGACCCTCGTGGGCGCCTGCGGGAAGGCGCTGACCCCGGAGGAGGTGGCCGCGAAGCTGCCGTCCGCCAACCCGGACGCGGCGTCCATGGTGGATCGCATCCTGCGCCTGCTGGCCTCGTACAATGTCGTGTCGTGCGTGGTGGAGGAGGGCGAGGACGGCAGCCTCTCCCGTCGGTACGGCGCCGCGCCGGTGTGCAAGTGGCTTACCATCAACGAGGACGGCGCCTCTCTGGCCCCGTTCGCCCTCCTTGCAACGGACAAGATGCTCATGGAGTCATGGTGAGCTAGCGTTTACTTACTTTGATACTACTACTCTAGCCTAGCCAGCTGTACTCTTCATCTTCTTCTTTGAGATTACCAAATCCAACTAGAGTCTAGAGTAGTAGTGAAAATACTCTCGATCTGAAACTAATTTGCGCGCGTGTCATTGGCAGGTGCTACATGAAGGACGCAGTCCTTGACGGAGGCAACCCGTTCGTCAAGGCCTTCGGGATGACGGCGCGTGAGTGCAACGGCAAGGACATGCGCCTGAACCGCGTCTTCAACGAGGCCATGACGCACCATTCCGGCATCATCACCGGCAAGTTCCTCGAGCTGTACACAGGTTTTGATGGCATCGGCACCCTCGTCGACGTCGGCGGCAGCGTCGGCACCCTCATGCACGCCATCGTCTCCAAGTACCCGAGCATCAGGGGGATCAACTTCGACCTCCCCTTCGTCATCGCGCACGCGCCGGACTACCCCGGCGTGCAGCACGTGGCCGGCGACATGTTCGAGAGCGTGCCCTCCGGCGACGCCATCGTCATCAAGTGGGTCCTCAACGGCCTGAGTGACCAGCAGTGCGCGACGCTGCTCAAGAACTGCTACGACGCCCTGCCGGCGCACGGCAAGGTGGTCAACCTGCAGTGCATCCTGCCGGTGCACCCGGACGCGACGCACAGCGCGCAGGAGGTCATCAGCGTCGACGTTAGCATGCTCGCCTACAGCGTCGGCGGCAAGGAGAGATACCTGAGGGACTTCGAGAAGCTTGCCAAGGGCGCCGGGTTTGCCGGCGTCGAGGCCACCTACATCTACGCTAACTTCTGGGCCATCGAGTACACCAAGTAGCTAGCTAGCGGCCGGGATCCGTCTCTTGCTTGCTTCCGCTGCTGCTGTGTTTTCCATGCTAATTAATTTCTTCCGTTTTGTTCGTGTCATGCATGCCACTGTGCCAGGAGTTTGTTTTGTATGATCTGTGTTTGTTTGTTGGAATAAAAGGAAGAACTAGCAACAGCGCAAATTAAATTCCAGTGCTCCATCGTTTCCGTGCGAGAAAAGTCCACTTTACAACCCTCAACTAACCACAATGTTTTGATTTACGAAAACACTAACGCCCACACGTATGGGCGTTAGTCAACTCGCGCACACTCGTCAATCGTCGTCGATTCCAATCTTGGCACGAAGCCGGTGATTTTGTGTGCCACGTAGGACAAGTCGATTGTGTGACGTGTAAGAGAGTTCGCCCGCACGCCGTTTTCGTTCCGAAGTCAGCAGTTGCGAGTCCGGGCGTGCGGTGGAACTGCCGTCGCGCCCGCACGCCACGCCCGTCTTCGGTTGTCGTCTCGCCACTTCGCTCTCCACTCGTGGTTTAGTTTACTCCCCTCGCCATTCATTACTCCCAACCCACCCATTCACATCAGTTGCAGTCGATTGCGAGGAGAAACCGAGAGGAGAAGGCGACGGCGGCGGTGGCGGAAGACTCGACCGCATTCGCTGCCATTGGTGGGGCTCGCCGGACCGGAGCATCGTTGCCGGAGAGCCGCAGATTGAAGTTAAGGCTCCCTCCCGTGGTCACATTTTCTGCCTGCTATTTTGCGCCCCCTCCCTTTATGCTCAATTTCCGCTCGAGTTTCCCGTCAGCGTTGGAGTCGCGTGCTTGCCATCTAGGGCGGCATTGCGCAGTTTTGTCGCCGCCGCGGCGGCAGTCATGCCAGTGTGGGCCAAATCCGTTCCCGTCCCCGTCCCGCAGCCTAATCCGTTGTTTGCCTTGCGATTGAGCGGGCGATTTTTCCAGATGATAGATATGATTTGCCTCGAAATGCTATGGCCATCAGTGTAGTGAGTATTGCATTTGTTAAATTTCACGGTATGATAGTTGCGAATGAACCCTAGATCTAGGTAGTTGCATTTCAGATTGTAGGATAATGGCAGCCATGGCATTTTCAACATCTGTCATCACTGATGGCAACTAATTTTCTGATCAACTGTGTCAATTGCCACGAATATGCTTTCCATGTGGCAACTAATTTTGTGAACATACTATGCTGTTGCCATGCCACTATCAGCACTGATGGCGACTAATTTCGTGATCAAGTGTGTCAGTTGTCACGAATATGCTTTACATGTGGCAACTAATATTTGTGAGCACACTATGTCTGTTGCCATGACACTATCATCACTGATGGTGACTACTTTTCAGAACAATCGTGTCAGTTTTGCCACGATTACGCTTTCCATGTGGCAACTTATTTTTGTGAGCTCACTATGTCTGTTGCCATGCCATATCCAGTACTCAGTTTGCGTTTGCTATGCTGACTTGTGATACCTGAATGTTTCTTGACTGCATTACATGGCAACTCATTTTTATGTGAGGCTAGGGAGTGAGTTGCCACATTACATGTGTAGTGGAAGTTGTCTGCCTTTTTTTTTTCAAATGCCTTGTGTTTTACATGGCAACTTTGAACATAGTACATTTGCTGCTTGTGAATACATGGCAACTCATTTTTATGTGATGCCAGGGAGTGAGTTGCCACATTACATGTTGTGTAGTGGAAGTTGTCTTCCTTTTTTTTTCAATGCCTTGTGTTTGACACGGCAACTTTGAACATTGTACATTTGCTGATTGTGAATACATGGCAACTCATTTTTATGTGATGCCAGAGAGTGAGTGGCCTTAATACATGCTATGTAGTGGAAGTTGTGTGCCCTTTTTTTGAGTGCCTTGTGTTTAACATGGCAACTCGAACATAGAAGATGTGTTCTGTACATTTTTTTATGAAGCCAATGTGTTAGTTGTCACATCTCATGTTGGACAATCCTAGGGGGAGTGGGGTGTTCAAATGCTCTGCCTCATTTGCCACTTTAATTGGAGCCAACATGGCAAGTAGACTGTGCTAGCTGGCAAGTGCTTCCTTGAGAAACACATACACGTCCAGTTGCCATGTTTCTGCAGTTGCTCTTCCATTTGACTATTTTTCTGCCTTTTTGTGCATGTTCAGCACATGGCAATTACCGTCCTCTTCAGATGTTTCAACTTTAGGGCAGCCATGGAGTTTTCATTTTTGTTCATCAATGATATCCAGTGAACATTTTACTTTATAAATTTCTTTCCGTATCCGTCGGCTGTGGTTTCACAGCATAATGTGTGTTTTGTTCTTATTGCAGAACAATGGCTCGCGACAGCCATCAAGATGATGATGATGACTTCATGGATGCACCGCAACAGAATCGCGCGACTGGTCGGGCAAAAGATGGCGAAGAGGTAACTTTCCACCCCTATATGTTTTCAATGTCACATTGTGTTTTCAATCTTCGGTTAGAATTAAAATTTTCATGACATTGAACATGGCAACAAATGATCCTTTTTCTATTATGCAGAAGAAGAAACATCATCGCAATAGGGCTTCGCAAGAACGCCTGACCATTTTGAATGAAGGATTTACTGATGAGCAGAAGGGAGCTGCCGGTGCCATGGGGATGCATGCTTTGATGGATGTTCGCTGCAAGATCTTAGTGAACCCTGTATGCGACTGGCTCGGTGAGATTTATGACCCTGCCTCCAGAGAATTTCTGATTCCGGGAAGGGGAAGACTGCCTTTGGATGAGGATTCGGTGTTCAGCACTTTGGGTGTGCTCCGTGGAGAAATCAAAGTCCCGTATGAGGTGAACAATAACATTGAGGAAGCCCTGTTCCCCCGTTTGTTTCCTGGGATGTCAGCCTGAAGGAAACATCCGTAGAGGCAATAATAAAGTTATTATTTATTTCCTTATTTCATGATAAATGTTTATTATCCATGCTAGAATTGTATTAACCGGAAACATAATACACGTGTGAATACATAGACAAACATAGTGTCACTAGTATGCCTCTAATTGACTAGCTTGTTGAATCAAAGATGGTTAAGTTTCCTAGCCATAGATATGAGTTGTCATTTGATTAACGGGATCACATCATTAGAGAATGATGCGATTGACTTGACCCATTCCGTTAGCTTAGCACTTGATCATTTAGTATGTTGCTATTGCTTTCTTCATGACTTATACATGTTCCTATGACTATGAGATTATGTAACTCCCGCTTACCAGAGGAACACTTTGTGTGCTAGCAAACATCACAACGTAACTGGGTGATTATAAAGGTGCTCTACAGGTGTCTCCGAAGGTACTTGTTGAGTTGACGTATTTCGAGATTAGGATTTGTCACTCCGATTGTTGGAGAGGTATCTCTGGGCCCTCTCGGTAATGCACATCACCATAAACCTTGTAAGCAATGTGATTAATGAGTTAGTTGCGGGATGATGCATTACGGAACGAGTAAAGAGACTTGCCGGTAACGAGATTGAACTAGGTATTGAGATACCGACGATCAAATCTCGGGCAAGTAACATACCAATGACAAAGGGAACAACGTATGTAGTTATGCGGTTTGACCGATAAAGATCTTCGTACAATATGTGGGAACCAATATGAGCATCCAGGTTCTGCTATTGGTTATTGACCGGAGACGTGTCTCAGTCATGTCTACATAGTTCTCGAACCCGTAGGGTCCGCACGCTTAAAGTTCGGTGATGATCAGTATTATGAGTTTTTGCGTTTTGATGTACCTAAGGTAGTCCGGAGTCCCGGATATGATCACAGACAGGACGAGGAGTCTCGAAATGGTCGAGACGTAAAGATTGATATATTGGATGAATATGTTTGGACACCGGAAGTGTTTTGGGAGGTTTCGGACATATACCAGAGTACCGGGGGGTTACCGGAACCCCCCGAGGGGTTTAGTGGGCCTCATGGGCCCTATTGGAGAAGAGGAGGGGCGGCAAGT